CCCGCCACCTTAGGTGTATGTGGCTGGCGCCTTAGCCGCTTGAGCCACAGGCGCCGAGCCGATTATCTGAAATTCTAATTTAACTGGGAGCCCTGGTCTTCTCTGGCAAGCCTTGCTCTCCACAGCCTGGCTCCTTGGGAGGTAGCTCTTTGCAACTCTGCCAAGGTAATAACCCAGTGCCACTGGACAAGAGTCAAGGTCTACCTGCAGAAATCCCCCCAGGTCCTGCTGGACCCAGCCTCCTTCTCCCCTTTCCCAATACACTGTCTACTGTGCTTCCCCAAACCCTCTGCTCACACAACTGCTAACACATAATGTACATCCACATAAGTGACTTCCCATACACATGGTCACTGAGGCATGAAACCAATCCTAATATTACTAGGTCCCCACCAACCAAGGAACCTCAGGTCAGTAGGTCAGGCGCAAGCCACATACACCAGGGCTGGAGGGTTCGAACCTAGCCCAGGACTGCTAAACAACCACAGTTACAAAACAAAACAAAACAAAACAAAAACCGGGCGTTGTAGCAGGCTCCTGTAGTCTCAGCTATTTGGGAGGCTGAGGCAAGAGAATTGCTTAAACCCAGAAGTTTGAGGTTGCTGTGAGCTGTGACGCCACTGCACTCTACCAAGGGCAACGTAGTGAGACTCTATTTCAGGAAAAAAAAATGTTGCCTGAGAAAGAACAGAATCTTTCCACCGTTTTGAGGGACTGGGTGGTTTTTAGCACTAAAGATATGGAACAGGGTTTGCTTTCAGTTCTTACTCCCAGTCATACATACAATTTTGTTCTTGGCTCTTTCTCTGTCCAGTTTCAAAAATTCACTGAGGGTTAATTCTTCAAACTGCTTCTTGACGGAAAGGAAAGCACAACCAGATGAATGCTTTTTATGTTCCTCTCTAGAAAAACCAACACATAAGTAAGTCAACAGGAAATCAGGTAACAGGCGAAATCAGTAGTTTACCTTCCCCTGACCAAGCCCTAAGGAGCACACTGTGTTCGGCTTCTAGAGTAAAGTGTTAAGACTGAAGTTGGGGCCCGGCACCTGTAGCTCAACCGGCTAAGGCGCCAGCCAC